GAGCAAAGCCCCCCCCCCCGGGAAGAGGGGGAGCTGCCCCCGGTCCCCTCCCTCGCTGGGGCGGCACCAACTGTTGAGCCCCCTTGTGCCGCCCCGGGAAGTTGGCCCGATAAGGGGTCAGGGAGAACTGGCTTCAGCGACAGCTGCTCTCTCTGCTTGGACTGTGCCCGTCCCCAGACCCTGGTCCAAAAAGGCACCTTGCCGGGCACCGTGCCTCCTGGCTGGCGCTGGAAGATGCTGGCCCCCTCTGCGTGTACCCCCAGAGCTCCCTGCCAAGGCCAGGGTGAACGCTAAAGAGGAAACCCCACAGGGCGCCAGGCATGGCAGCCGCCCAACAGCGCCTGTTATCACACGTAACAGACCTGAGAATGGCCGCCCCACCCAGACAAGCCCAACACTTAGGGTATGTTGCTGCTTCGGCTGTATCTGTAGGGTAGCAGGTGCAAGAGGTTCGCACTGCTGTGAGGAGGGCAGCACAAATGGCTACATGGATAGACAGTATAAAAGTCTCTGTTTTTTAAGTAAGAGTCTTGCTGACTTTGGGTTTCTCCGCCAACAAGTTACAGAAGAGCAGTAATTCAGTGCACACAGTTTTCCTTCTGGCTTTTAAATTAAGAGCAGCCATACTGGGTTAGATCAGTGTCCATCTAGCCTAGTATCCTGTCGGTGGCCAATGCCAGATGTACCAGAGGGAATGAACAGACCAAGGCAATTTATGGAGTGATCCATCCTGTGTGGAGCAGTTCCAGCCTCTAGCAGCCAGTGGCTTAGGGACATGTACAGCCTGGGGTTGCATCCCTGACCATCTTGGCTAATAGCCACTGATGGAGCTTTGTTTCAGGAACTTATCTAATTTCTTTTTCTGAACCCAGTTATACTTTTGGCCTTCACTCCGTGCCCTGGCCACAAGTTTGACGGCTTGACTGTGTGTTGGGAGAAGAAATGCTTCCTTTTGTTTGTTTAAAAACTGCTGCCTATTAATTTCATTGGGTGTCTCTGGTTCTTGTGTTATTTGAAAGGGTAAATAACACTTCCTTATTCGCTTTCTCCAGACCAGTCATGATTGTATAGACTTCTGTTGGATCCTCTCTTCATCGTCTTTTTTTCTAAGCTGCATCGTTCCAGTCTTTTTAATGTGTCCTTGTGTGGAAGCTGTTCCATACCCCTAATCATTTTTGTTGCCCCTCTCTGCACTTTTTTTTATTTTATATATATGTGTGTGTGTGGGGGGGTGTATCATTGTAACCATTTAAACAGCATTTAAACAGTTAAACAATAAGCACGAGTTTATCGGTTACCGTAACGGTTACACACCAGCTCCCAGGGAGCCGGCTCCCACCCTGTGCTGCTGGCTCTGTATCAGAGCCTGCAGTGCAGGGCAGCTCCTGGCTTAAAAGCTGGCTCCCGAGGAGCCAACTACCACCCTGCGCAGCATTGCAGCCAGCTCCCTGGGAGTAGGGCTGGGAGTTGGCTGCTGGACCTGTGTCTGGGGAGCTGGCTATGCTGCAGACTCTACATGAAAGTTGGTTCCTTTATGTTGATATTTAGACTGCACAGAAGCCTGACTTAATACAGTAATTCCTCATTTAACACTATAGATATGTTTCAGAAATGACCGTGTTAAGTGAAGACGTGTTATGTGGGATCAATTTTCCCATTGAAAATAATGGAAAAGGTGGGGGTTTTATTTCAAGTGGTGGTGTCTGTTGAGACCGGGACATAAAGTTGGGGGAGAAAGTGGACTGGGTTACAGCAGGGAGGGGTGATGTTTGTCTCTGGGGAAGGGAAGGGAAGGGAAGGGAGGAGAGGGGAGGGGGATTGGGTTGGGAGTATGCCCCTGTGACGGGTCTGCAGACCCGCACTGCGTCCGGCGAGGGGGGTCGCCGGGGAATGGCACGGCGAATGGTGAATCCTCTGCCACTTACTTTCCAGGGAGGCGGGGGAAGCCCCGCGCAGCCGCCAGCAACAGGTCAGCTGGGGAAATCGTGTTATTCCAGGGACAGTCGTGTAATTCAAAAAACGTTCCCTAAAAAAAAAAATCGTGCTATTGCGAAAAAGTGTTAAGTAGGCACGTGTTAAATGAGGAATTACAGTACTGCAGAGCCCACACCACGTAGCCATGTAACCTCTACGATGTTTAATGGTTACATAGTTACCTACTTAACTGCTTTTTAACATTCCTAATATAATATATGAATGTATGTAAAAGACCAGAACTGCATGCAGTATTCAAAGTGTGGGCATACCATGGATTTATTCAGCAGCACTGATATTTTCTATCCTATTATGTGCCCCTTATGATTCCTAATATTTGGCTAGCTTTTGGGGACTGCTGCTGCACATTGAACAGATGTTTTCAAAGACCTTTCCATGATGACTCCAAGATCTTTTCCTTGAGCGATAACAGCTACGTGAGCCGCCATCATTTTGCACAGATCGTTGGAATTATGTTTTCCAACTTGTGTCACGTTTCACTTACCAACGTTGAATTTCATCTGCTATTTTCTTGACAGTCACCCAGTTTAGGGAGACCCCTTTGTAACTCTTTGCGGTCAGCTACTGAAATTGTCCACAGTGTTTAGATGACACCGGTCTATACCCATTTTCTACCCATAGTCTAAGTAGGGGTATGGAGAAACCCAGCTGCTTAAAATGAACCCTTATTTATGCCATCTTGCTGCCCAATTCTTATTGTTTAAGGATTTTGTACTGGTGCCCATCGTCATAACGCCTGAGCCCCTGCCAGGGACAAAGTGTCTTGCAGACTTCATGGGGGCTTCTTATCTTCTTCCATCTCAGGCTCTGGGAGGTTCTGCTTGGGAAGGGATTGGATTGGGGGAAATGGGTGTGACAGTTGTTTCTCTTTCTATGCACTGTCGGTGTTAAGAACATTAGAACATAAGAACGGCCATACTTGGTCAGACCAAAGGTCCATCTAACCCAGTATACTGTCTGCCAGCAGTGGTCAATACCAGATGCCCCAGAGAGAGGGAACACAACAGGTAATCATCACATGATCCCTTTCCTATCATCCATTTCCAGACAAACAGAGGCTAGAGACCCAGTTCCTACCCATCCTGGCTAATAGCCATTGATGGACCTAACCTCCATTAATCTAGCTAGCTCTTTTTTGAACCCTGTTAAAGTCATAATCTTCACCACATCCTCTGGCAAGGAGTTCCACAAGTTGACTGAGCACTGAGTGAAGAAAAAATTTCTTTTGTTTGTTTTAAACCTGCTGCCTATTAATTTCATTTGGTGATCCCTAGTTCTCATATTGTGGGAATAAGTAAATAACTTTTCCTTATTCACTTTTTCCATACCAGTCATGATTTTTAGACCTCTATCATATCCTCCCCTAGTCTCCTGTTTTCTAGATATCCTGAAAAGTCCAAGGTTTTTTAATCTCTCTTCATATGGGACCCGTTCCAAACCCCTAATCATTATTGTTGCCCTTTTCTGAACCTTTTCCAATGCCAATATATCTTTTTTGAAATGAGGTGGCCACATCTGTACGCAATATTCAAGATGTGGGCACACCATGGTTTTATATAGAGGCAATGAGATATTCTCTGTCTTGTTCTCTATCCCTTTTTTAATGATTCCTAACATTCTATTTGCTTTTTTGACTGCTGCTGCACACTGAGTGGATGTTTTCCACAATGACTGCAAGATCTCTCTCTTGAGTAGCTGTAGCCAAATTAGGCCCCATCATGTTGTATGTATAGTTGGGATATTTTTTCCAATGTGCATTACTTTACATTTATCAACATTAAATGTGTTCATGCACCTTTGGCCTATTGCGTGGTAATCCATCTCTGCCAGAGCTATTCTAACACTGCCGACTTGCAAGCAACTTAAAGAAAAAGCATGGCTTCTGTTAAATCAACTGGCCACAGCATTACTTCCTCTTTTCCCAAATGGGAGGCTGCTGCCCTTGGTCCGGCAAAGTTTCTGTTGCTACCTGGATTGGGGGTTCACTCTGCTTGAGGACTTTGGAATTGGGCCTTTGATGTTAAACATTCAAGTTGTGCCTCCCTCTGCCCGTTAATTTCAAGCTACAAAACTGGCAAAGCCCAGGGTGTCTGAAAAGTGGCAATAAGACAGCCCAAGTGGGTAGTGACGGCAAGTTGTTGTCCACTGGCCTACATGAAATGATTCCACCTTACAAAAGCTTCCTTCCAGCTGGCAACCTACTTAGCTGTGGGAGGCCTGAATGGGCTGGGGTACTGAATCGGACTGGGAATGGGTCACCCTGTTTCGGGAGTGAGGCATATTGGTAAGGTGCTGGGAGGACGGCTTTCACTCCTGCTGCCCAGGCTGTCCCTTCTGTATCCTCGTGACTTACATTTGCCATTCTACTCGCTCTTCCCTTTTTATTAATGGTAAATGATCACAGACCACTTTTTCAAAGACACCCACTGGTAATTGTCAAACTAGTTTCATGAGCACGATCGACTGTAGGTGGCAAAGATTAGAGTCAATTGTCTAGTTACCTGTTTTGACACTATAGCTTTGACAAAGCACTAAATTAGAACAGTTCGGTCTGCAGTGTTTGATTTTTGTCAGCAAGCAGGTTTTCAGTGAGTGCCAGTGGAGGTACGC